TTTAATAATCTAGAAATGAGATAACAGCTGATGTAATTTGAGGGAAAATGAGCATCCTGGAGCGCCTTCGAGTTTCAAAAGTTCTGTTCCCATGACAACGGGTAGTTAAGGGACCCCGAGTATAAAATTGGTATTGGGAAAGGCATTCGAAAAGCTACAGCGCATAAACCTACAAAACCCTGTAATTACAGACATTACGCTAAACACTGCCGTTTTCGGTAACTACTGTGCGAGCTCCGATTATATCAGCTAAGTTGTTTATTTATCCGTTGTTTAAGCGACATGTTTGATTAGGAAATTTTGGGGTGCACAATATCTCGTTTTTACTCCGTTTTTCATCCAATTTTCTCATTGGTTCGTGTATATATTAACCATTATTGATATGGCTTTTTTTTCTTATTATCATTATGATTTTCTTCCTTCACACAATCCCATGATTCGTATATAGGGAACCGAAGCTCCGATAATCCCGTCTTTACATATTGCATCCCTTAAGTACATGAAACTTAACCGCCTGCCAGTTCTCTTTCGCAAATAAGGATCAAAACAGGAAGGCATAACTTGTAATTATCGCCCTTACAGGTGTTCGAATTATGCCGTGAAGGAGTCGATGCTCGGCTGTTCCGCTTGATTAAGTCTCTTTTGTTACCAAATGGATACGAAAAGATAAAAGCAACATCGAGAGAGGCGAAAGAAAGGAAGAAAAGGAGGGAGACAGAGTCGATAATTGCATAGAGGAAGCGAAATGAGAAAAGATAATGGCGAGATGATAAGCATGCTCAGGTCCGTGCGGTTTCGGCGTGGCAGGCGCTGTGGCTGCATAATACGGCCATTTTGATGCTTGTAATTGCGAAGATGAGGAAGGAATCACACACATCAAGAACAAATAAATTCAATTACACTTAACACCGCGCTGGCGTTTGTGTGTTATTTATGAGTCTAATATTAGTGACGGTGCGAGCGGTGTTAGAAAAGCTTAAGGTGTTTATGCTCATGACAGTAATAACTAAATCATGATGTATTTAGAGCGAGAAAGATAAACAAAGGGAATTAAGATGCCTCGGAATGATTGGCAAAGAGGAGAGAGGATAAACAGCGGGAGAGGGGGAGGAGGAGGAAAGAACAAGAGAATGAGAGGAGAGAAACATAAAAGATATACTGATAAGGAGAGGGGGAGGGAGGAAAAAGGAGAGAGGGATAGAAAGAATGGGAAAGGAAAGAGAGAGAGAGGCCGAGAAAACGATATTATATATATATTATATAATATATATATATATATATATATATATAATATATATATATAATAGAAGGAGAGAAGAGAGAGAGAGAGAGAGAGATGAGAGAGAGAGAGAGAGAGAGAGAGCAAGAGAGACACAGGTAGACAGATAGAGAGAGGGAGGGGAAGGGAGAGAGATGGAAAGGAGATAGAGGCCTACCTCCCTCCTCCCTCCTCCTCCGCCACCCCGGCTTCTCCTTCTTCTTCTCTCAATCTCTCTCCCTTTCCCTCCTTTCCTCATCTCTCCCTTTCTCTCTTCCTTCCTTCCCTCCCCCACCTCTCCTTCCCTCCCTCCCTCCCCCATCGCTCCAATCCCTCCCTCCTCCCTCCCCAATCTCCCCCCCTCTCCATCCCCACCTCTCCTTCACCCCCTCCTCCTCCCCTTCCCCCACACCCTCGGACAAACCCACCGACACCGAGAGAAAAAAAATAGTTAAATAAATAATTATGGAAACCCCACGACGGGAAGGGCCACGAGGTTCGCCTCTGGGGTCGCTGTGGTAGCGCCGGTTGTGGCTTCGTTGTGGTTGTGGATGTGTCTTGTTCTTGTTGTGGTCGTGGCGTGTGGTTTTTGGCTTCGTTGTGGTTGTGGATGTGTTGGGGTTCTTGTTGTGGTCGCGACGTCGTTGTGGCTGTGGATGTGCTGTGGTTGTTGTTGTGGTAGCGCTGGTTGTAGTTGTGGATGTGTTGTGGTTGGTGATGTGTTTTTTTGTGTGTATTTGTTGTGGTAGCGCTGGTTGTAGTTGTGGTTATGTTGTGTTTTTTTCTGTTGTAGTAAAGCTGGTTGTGGCTTTGTTGTGGCTGTGTTGTGGTAGCGCTAGTTGTGACTGTGTGGTGGTTTTTGCTGTGGTTATGGCTGGCTAGATTGTGTTGTGACTGTGTAGTGGTTTTTTTCCTCTGGTTGTGGTTGTGGCAGCTATGTTACCGATATGTTGTGACTGTGGGTGAGGTTGTTATGTTGAAATGTTGTGACTTTGGTTTTGTTATATTCTGTTGAAATCGCAGTTGCTATTGTATAGATAAAAAGTATTAATTTCTTAGTATTACTGTTGATGACGATAATAAAATAAAATTCTTTTAGTGATCATATCAACAGCATTTTGAGAAATAGTGAAGATGATGATTTCGTTATTACTTTATTTGCAAAAAATGGTATTAGTAGTAGTGGTAGTAATAGTAGTAGTTGGAGGAGGATAAGGAATAGTAGTAGTAGTAGTAACATAGTCCATATTATCATTATCATTGTTTTTATTAGTCCTTATCAATATTGTTTTCATTTATCATTATCATCATTGTTTTTATTAGCTCCATTATCAATATTGTTTTCATTATCATTATCATCATTGCCATTTCATGATCATTGGTAACATTAGTGTTATCATCATTACATTTCTTGATATTACTGACACAGAAGGCATTAATGATACTAATATTTATATCAATATGATTTTTGTTAGCATTATTAATTTCATTTTTTTTTTTTTTGTTTTGTTCATATCTGCTAATGTTATTACGATCGTCATTATTATTATCATTATCATTGATATCGTTGTTATTACTAGTGATTATTTTTATTGTTGCTATTATTATCATTACTATTATTACCAACTCTTCCCCCCCCTTCTCTCCTCAACCTCCCCCCCTCTTTCTCCCCTCAAACTCCCCCCCCCTCTTTTCTCCCTCAACCTCCCCTCCCCCTCCCCCCCCCTCCCCTCATCCTCAACCTCATCCTCAACCCCATCCTCACTCGTCCAGAGGTTAGGATAATGACAGTAATATTGTTGATTACAGTGTGACTAAAAAAAATAATAAATAATATTTAAAAAAAAAATCTGAGAAATAATTATTATAACAAGGTACCAGACTCGATTCACTACCTGGGTTGTGGGTGATGGTCAGAGAGGCATAGGAAGGAGAGGAGAGAGGTAGGAGGAGGTGGAAGTGGGAGGAGGAGGAGGGAGAGGAGGAGGGGGAGGAGGAGGGGGAGGAGGAGGAGGAGGGAGGGGAGGGAGGAGGAGGGGAGGGGGGAGGGGAGAGGGGGGAGGGAGGGGGGAGGAGGAAGGAGGAAGGAAGGAGGTGGAGGAGGAGGAGCTGGAGGGGGAGGAGTAGGTAAGGGGAGGGGAGGAGGAGGAGGGGTAGGAGGAGGGGGAGGAGGGGTAGGGGGAGGGGAGGAGGGGGAGGGGAGGGGAAGGAGGAGTAAAGGGAGGGGGAGGGGGAGGAAAGAGGAGGAGGAGAAAAAGAAGAGGAAGAGGGAGGAGGAAGAAGAGGAACAGGAGAAGGAAGCAGAGGAACATGAGGAGGAGGAGGAGGCGGATGGTGATGAGGTAAAAGGAAGATGATAAGAAAGAGGAAGGGGATGGGGGGAAAATGATGATGATGAGGATGATGATAAGGAGGAGGGATAAGGAGGAGAAATTGTGAGTGAAAAGATGATGAGAAGAAAGAGGAGGAGAATAAGGAAAAATGGAGTTGATGGTGATGAGGATGAGGAGGGAAAATGGTGATGATAAATAATGATAGTTTTCATGGTGATGATAATAACGATTTTTTATAATGATAAGAAGAATGCGAAGGAGGAGGAAGGAGGATGTGATGACGAAAAGGAGAAGGACATAGGTGAAGAAAATGAAGAAAAATGATCGATGATGATGATAGTTATGGTGGTGGTGGTGAAATAGACGATAGTGATGGTGATTGTGAAGATGACAAAAATAAAGAAGATATATAAGAAGGAAAGAAAATAACGAGAGAAAGCGAGAGTGAGATATATGAAGAAGGGAAGGAGGGAAAGGAGGAAAAAAAGAGGAGAGAGGCCAGAGGCAGCAAGAGAGAAAAGAGGGAAAGAGAGAGAGAGACCGAGAGAGAGAGAGAGAGAGAGAGAGAGAGAGAGAGAGAGAGAGAGAGAGAGAGAGAGAGAGAGAGAGAAGAGAGAGAGAGAGAGAGAGAGAGAGAGAAGAGAAGAAAAGAAAGAAAGAAAGAAAGAGAGATGGGGAGAAGAGAGAGAGAGAGAGAGAGAGAGAGAGAGAGAAAGAAAGAAAGAAAGAAGAGAGAGGGAGAGGGAGAGAGAGAGAGAGAGAGAGAGAGAGAGAGAGAAAGAAAAGAGAGAGATGAGAGAGAAGTGAGAGAAAGAGAAGAGGAGAGAGGCCAATAAATACATCAAAATTTAATGATTTTCTGTTTATTTTTTGTGGACGTATTTCCCGAGACCGTTTATATAATGTTAGTATTACCAACCGAACTCGGAGATAAGAAAAAAAAGAAAATAAAAAAAAACTCAAAATTTAAGGTGTGATGTCAGAACAGGATCACCTCCGGGAAAAAAAAAATGTATTCTCTTATATATTATGAAAATTACATCCATTATTTCCCCAGATATAAATCACATCTTGTAAAATTAACAATAATAGTTCATGTAATAGAATAAGATGAGGACTTTAACACCTGAAAAAAAAAAAAATCAAGAAAAAAGTTCAACACGAAGGTCGATTCTCCCCGAGTTCGCCGACGCATAACTGTACCCTTTAACTATCGCTTTTTCTCCACCTCCCTCCTTTATTCCGTCTTCCCTATCTCCCTCATTTCCACCCGATCGAGAGAGAGAAAAGAGGGAGGGTGATCGAAGGGCTTCAGGATTTGCATAGAGAAGCTTTCCCACGGTGAGGTGAGGGCCGCCCCCGCAGGCACCTGGGAGGGCACCTGCTAATTGGGTTGTCTATGATTGCAGCACAACCAATCAGTCGAGGCGAGGCGGGGGCCATGGGGGCTGGGGAGGGGGGGAGGGGGAGGGCTTGGGGCTAAGGGGGGAAGGAGGAGGAAGGACGGGTCTAGACGTAGGAGGGGAATGGGGAGGACGAGGGGGCTATGGGGTAGGGGGGGGCAAGGGGGGTGGAAAGAATTGGGCGGTGGGGGAAGGGAGGGGAGGGAGAAGGGCAGGCTGGCGTGGGAGGGGAGGTGGGAGGCGGAAGGGGCCACGGAGGCGGGGCGGGGAAGGGAGGTCTGGGGGTTAAGGGACGGTCTACGCGTGGAGGTGGGATGGAAGGGAGGGGGCCGACTGAGGCCAGGGGGTAGGGGGGAGGGGGGAGGCGAGGGCCCACGGAGGCAGGGGGGGTCAGGTCGGGGTTTCGGCCAGGGGGGGAAGGGAGTCTGGCGTGGGGGAGGCGGTGGGGGTGGGAATTGGGACGGGGGGGGTGCGGCTGAGCGGTGAAGAAGGGGGTAGGGGGGTGCTTGTGTGTGTTTTGATATGTATATGACATATAGATAGATATATACGATATATCCATAACACACCACACGCGCACACAAACTAACACACGACTCCGCACACACGTACACACACACATACACACAATCACACACACACACCGCGCACACAACACACATATACTATATATATAAAATAATACTATATAATATATATATATATATATATTATATATAATATATAATATATAGTATAAT